TCAGTCCTGGGAGAGGGTCCAGCTCCATGTAGCCTCTGTCTGTCCTGGGCCACCAGTTCTGGAGGTGAGATGGTACTTGGCTGTGTGTTGTGCCACATCCAGACCTTGTACACAGGATCTCTAAGGTCAGAGTTGGGGCACTTCCCCCCGATTATGCCTATCAAGCCCCCTGTGAAGTGTGGGGACTCAGTGACTGAAGAAGGCCTGTGAGATGGCTCCCCTGGAGGACCCAACCCTTCTCTAGAAATGTACTTCCCATGGTATCATGAGCTTCTGGGTGCAGTCTTAGGCCTGATTTGACCATTAAACCCTCAGCAAAGCCATTTACACTAGTGCCCACCTTGTCTGCCTGTTTTCCCACAGCACTGGGGCACCTTTAAGGTCTAACAATCAGAGTCTCAGGGCAGTTTACATGCACTTTCACAGCCAGAGGCAGCAGGAGGTGTTGCCAATGATGACATTAATTTACAAACATCGCATGAGGATACATGTCATGGTAAACCATGGATGCATTCAGAGACTGTGAAGCAAGAGGAAGTTTTTAAAGGATTTTCGAGGATTACATCAGGCATTTTAAAACAGTCATCTTTTACTGCAGCGATCAGTACCCAGGGTGACATTGGTGGGAGGTTGAAGAGATGTTAGGCAGCTGAATTGAAGCAGTGTGTGTGCAAGCTTGTGGTGGCCCCTGTGAAAGCTTGCGGTTCTGATTATCTTGTGACAGTCACTCGTAGGCAGTCATGGTAAGCCTCCCTCTGTGGCCTCCTGACTTTATCTGTGGTTTGTCATATTGACGCATGGAAATCCGTCTCAGTCCTGACAGCATTCACTTTCCATTCACAATGTCATTGACAGGGAGATCAGGTACTTTCTGAGGAACCTGAGGTGCCCATGACCTGCCCTTCTGGAGGCCAGGCAAGATGCCCACCTGCCCTGGCAAGGACAGGAAAGTCTAGGGAGCTTTGGGCTTGGAACTGGGCTCCCATCACAAGCACTGGGAACCCAGCTCTTGTCAGGCAGAGAAAATATGTCTTCCCAATTTACAAATGCAAGGGTATGGGTCACCTGCCCAGGTCCCTGCAGCTTGTCTGTGATGATAATGGAAGTGCACAGAGAGTGCTCCATCGCACCCGCTGTCCTTTCTATGGGCATCATTTGTATAGTGAGTGCAGTGCTCCCCACATGGGTCCTCTCCTGCTTGGACTCTGTGCTTGCTGTTCCACAGATCTGAGTTTGGGTGCCCTGTATGCAGACCTGAGAGATCAGCTGTGACCCTTAGGATGGAAGAGAGCTACCTAGCAGGACTCCTGGTCTCCATCTAGGTTATGTGGGCCAGTTGGAGTCAGGATGTTGGCTGGAAGTCCAAGCTACTTCATCCCTGGGCTCTGGTTCAGGGTTCAGAAGGAGACTTGCTGGCCAGCTTTTCCTCCTGAGGATCCTGTGTCACCTGCCCTACGCTCTGGTGGTGCAGCCTAACCACTTCCCATCCATTCCTTTGGAATGGGGTTTCAGGAATGCCATGCTTTGTCGGGGAGGAGTAAGCGTAAGCACAGCCGATGGGGCTCAGAGAGTCTCACCAGAGGAGCAGAGGCGAGGACAGTTGGTGATGGGGCTTGAGGGAGTCATCCCGGTCCTGGGCATTTCTCTATGCTGGGTTTGGAGGGTCTGCAGGATAACAGGGCAGCAGAACAGGTGGGCAAAGGCCCTGTGGGATCAGCTCAGGTCCTCTGCTCAGAAGGAGACACCACTGAGCATTTCTGCCTCAGTGGTCTGGGTTAAGGCTCAAGACTCTGCATCCTGACAAGTTCCCAAATGGTTCTGGATAGGGTCCTGGCTGTCTGGACTGCTCACTATCTTACTGTGTCTGAGAGTTGGTGGTCCATTTTGTGTCACTGTAGGAAAGTGTGTGAGGCTGGATAACTTAGAGGAGAGGAGTGAAGAGGCTCACAGTTCTGGTCCACTGTGTGGGCAAGGGAGGTGATCAGGAGAAGGCCTCTTACTGCAGAGTCATGAGGTGGTCCAAGGGCATAAGGTGATGAGAGATAGGAGGTCCATGTGTGTTGTCTCCCCTTCTTATAAAGCCACCAGAGTTCAGTCATGGGGGATCTAGTCATGAGGTGGTCCAAGGGCATAAGGTGATGAGAGATAGGAGGTCCATGTATGTGTTGTCTCCCCTTCTTATAAAGCCACCAGAGTTCAGTCATGGGGGATCCCCGTAATCTTACCTAGTCCCACTTACCTCCTGGAGGCAGTAGCTCCAGAACTCTCTCTTCCACCCTGCAAGTGCCTTACAGTGGGGCTTGCACTTTACACAGGAATGCTGGAGACACTTCACTCATCCCCAAACCACAGCACAAGTCTGGTTGAATGTCAGCCATGGGGGTGGGGGCATGAGACGCTCCATGAAGGGGGTGGGCAGGGTTCTCCTGGAGTATCTGATGCCCAGAGGGTTCCAACTGGGTTCTGTACCCCACATGAGTAAGGATTCTGCTGTGGCCTCCGGGGGTCTCCCCTCGGTCCTTGGCCTGGGCTTCCCTGTGTAGGGTGACCTGGGCACCTCAACTTCTTTAGAGCTTGTTTTGCTGCCCTATGATTGATGGGTGCTGATCATTGTTCTCTCACAATGCCCTATGCGCTTGGTGGGTCCCACAAGGATGTCAGTTCCTTTGCTGCCACTGTACTACCCTTAGCCTGCCCACTGTTGGACATAGTGACTTCCCTCTGCAGAGGCTCCTGGGGTACAAGGAGACCACCGTTCTTCCATTCCCTGGAGCACTACAGTCTGCTTCCTGTCACCCTGTAAGGTGTGGCTGGAACAGGGCTAAGACTGGTCGTAAGGCCCCATGCGTGCAGCCCCTCCCAAACCAGCAGATGACCTTCAAGACCAAGGGTTGACCAGTTTGACTAGTTTGTAAGTGACCTATGGGAGCTTCATAGCTCTGTCCATGTCAGAGTCTGCCCTGGTGGCCACCTGGTCACTGAAGGGTAGGGCAGTGTTTGGAAAGGCCCAGTCCTGATGGTGGACGTGGGTCTGGTGAAGCCACACCTATCTCAAATGGCACCTCATGGTCAGACCTTCAGAGACATTCTAGCTCTCTGGAGTCTGAGCAGGGCCAGGCCCTATCCTAGCTGGACTGAGGAATTCTCCAGCAAGAAGACACTCAAGGGCCACGGCTTTTCTTTCTTTTAGCTGGGCAACCCTTGGCCTAGTGGCAGAGCCCACTCTGTCCCCAGGCGCACCCTCAGTCAAGCTATGGATCTATGTTGGTCTCCAGGCTCGTCTGTTTGGATGTTCCACTCAGGGTGGAGGGGCATGGACAGGTCTGAGACATGGTCCCTGAAGGGGATGCCCTGGCTGGGGAGGCCATACTGTTTCCAACGGCATAGAGTCCAAGGGGGCTGTCTACACATAGAGCATTCAGAATGGAGAGAAGTTGCAAGCCACTTCAAACACTTGGAAGGCAGAGAACAGTGGAGGCGTGGGTAGGGCCCAAGCAAGAAGTGACAGGGTTGGTCCTACCCTGGCATCTAGTGGTGATACTGGCTCCAAGATGCCCTACCCCAGCCCTGATCCTCTCCTAACCCACATGTTAGCTCCCTGGGTCTGAAGGGTATCTTGATGAGATGGGGACCGTTACCCGGTATACCATAAGGCTCAGCACAGAGATACAGGTGATCCCTGTGGTCACACACTGGAAGCAACTCTGTGAGGGTATGGGGGTATCTGTGGGGCCGGGCTGGAGCTCCAGGGGGCCCCTCAGCAGCTGTGCTGGCTGTGGAAGGCCTATTCTGACGTCTCGCTCTCTTCTGTGTGTGTGCGTGTGTCCTGGCTGTGCCCTTAGCGTTTCCTTCGGAAATGATACTAGGTACAGGCACCGTTCTCTCCTGCCCTCGCTTGTTCCATCCCCTTACTCTGTCCCTTTCCCTCTCCTCTGATGGCTGCCTGCTCTTTGCCCTGTTCCAGTAGCCCCCTGTCTCCACTTCCCTAGACCTCTCCTTAGTGATGTGTGTCTGACAGTGTTCTGCCCAGCCTGCTTTGTTCAATGTTCCTGACCTGTTGACCCTGTGCCCCATGCCCTGGACAGTGTCATGCAGGAGGAAAAGCAGCCAAGCCCTCAAATGATCAGGCACCTCAGGGAGTCTGTCCATGTCCTTGAAGGGCCCAGCCATGAGGGTGTGGGAGCCTGTGCTGCTGCCTGGCCATGTAAGCTGTGTCTTTGGGAGGATGCTTGGATGGAGCTGAGTCTGTGGAGTGGCCACGCCATGAACCAAGGCAAATTTCCTCCCAGGGAACCCTGGCTTCAAGAGGGGTTTCAAGAGATCTGTGTTAAGGTGGATAAAGGAGCCTCCTTCCAGAGCAGGGGCATAAAGGGCTGGTGAAGCAGGGGGTCCCCATGGTAAATGCAAAGTCCTAGGCTCCTGGGAGCCACCCTGAGCTTTCCTACATAGAGCTGGGCCCCTACTGACAATTTGGCTGAAGACAGATACAGAAGAGCCCGAGGTTGCTGTTCCCATGGAGCCGTTCTCGGACCCGTGGGACGCTGCTGCCTGGGCCACCGTTTCCACTCCAAGCATCCTCCCACAGGGCCTTCCCCTGGCAGGGCGAGTCTTAATGGAAGGGATGGGCCAAGGAGGGTTTGGGCTAACTTGGTAGATCCCTGGTGGTGCCTCCTTGCTCAGGCTGGGGTAGCTCCCCCTGCTTCCCCTGCCTTCTCCCTGCCTTGTCCTTAATGTGTCCTCTGAGCCTCCTTCCACTCCTCCCAGTCCACACCATGGAGCTGAGGAACCTGGGGCTGGCAGGTGATGGCCCATGGAGGTCCCTGCTTGGTCCCAGCCTGAGTGAGGAGGGGCCTGTCCTTCCTGGTACTGCTCAAGCTTCCCAACCTGTGACTCCAGTGGCTCCCCCTGCAGTTGTCCCACATCTGTGTTTGTCTGCATGTTCCCGTTCCCACAGGGAGTGACCCCACACGTTGTCTTTTACCTTGTCTGCTTTTTTCTAGAACCTTCTACCAATTTGAGGCAGCCTGGGACAGCTCCATGCACAATTCCCTCCTACTGAATCGTGTCACCCCTTACCGGGAGAAAATCTACATGACACTCTCTGCCTACATTGAGGCAAGATACCCACACCCAGGGCACTCCCTAAAGCTTGAGGGGCTTGTAAAGCAGCAGTCAGGGCCAGTGGCCCCACTCTTTGTCGGAGGATGCCTCAAGTCCTTGAGTAAACCCATATATTTTTGATGATGGTGCTCACAGTTGGTTCATACCAATATCTTCAGTATGTGGATTTCAGCTTCGAGACTACAAGATGGCTGCATCACCACCAGCTATTACATCAATATTCTAGAAAGCACAAAAGCAGAAGCACTTCCCTGCCACTCCCTCTGTCCCCAGGGCCTGCAGCCCACAGGCTTTCCCTGAGGCACAGCTAGAGTCTGGGATGTGTGTCTAAAGTGAAGGAGGTTTGGGGACAGTGGGCCACTTCCTAGGGGATCATTTTTCCTTAGAACCTAATTACTCTAGATATCAAGTGTGGGACTGCCTCAGGGGCAGTGGCAAGGTCCTAGTCTCAGAAATGATGGTAGGGTTTTGTCCCCACAAACATTCAGGGTACATGTATGATGACATGCCTACCATGCACAGTTGGAGTTAACCGGTGTCACTGCCGAGGGATGTACTGACCTTGTAGGACCAGGTGTGCAAGCGTGGCCAGGATCAGCCTTGACCCACATGGTTTCAGGGTGTCTCCCTGGTTTTATGCTGAGGCAGCTAGGGAGTAGAGTGTATTTGGTAGCCTGGAAAACCTTGCTGGCCCCTATCTTCAGCAGTAGGGGCAGAGCCCTGGCTCCCTCCCACTCTCAAGGGCAGGAACAGACCTTCCTGCTGGGCATAGAGCCCTCTAAGGCCCCCATAGGCCTTAGCAGCCTGTCAGTGCAGCTCTTGTGTCTTAGAGGAAGGTGGGGAGGGGTGAGCACTGAGCCTGGGTGAGCTGGGGCTTGGGTACTCTGGGGGGTGTGTGCCCAGCAGCCTCTGTTGTCTATCACAGATGGAGAACTGCACCCAGCCAGCTGTCATCACCAAGGACTTCTGCATGGTCTTCTACTCCCGTGATGCCAAGCTGCCTGCCTCACGCTCCATCCGCAACCTGTTTGGTAGTGGGAGCCTGCGGGCCACAGAGGGGTGAGCCCACTGGGATGGGACAGAGGAGGGAGCCTGTGTCCCGTGCCTCAGAGGGGGAGCCCACCAAGGGAATGGGAGGGGGCTGCCTCCTCCCACCCTCAGTGTAAGTGTAACGCACCATTCTGGACTCAACATGGACAACAGCCTTGGGTATACCCCAACAGGCTGGCACACCTGTGACTTGTATCAGGGAGCCTCTGAACTCCAGCTCAGGCTGGTGGGTGAGGACCTGCCATCCACCCTCCAGCTCCCTGCTTCCAGTTCCCCCTGCTGGGCACTGGAAGAGGAAGGAGCCTGGGGATCAGGACTTAGTGACCAGCAAGGCCCATCTCCACGAGAGGGCTGTGTTGACTACCTTGGTGGAATTGGTGTTCCAGGAACAGGAGGCTTCTCTGTGGAATGCATGGACCGTGGAGCCTGGTCATGCCTTATGCTGAGGATCTGGGAACAAACATGTTCATGCTTCAGTGCACCTGGACTCCCTGGGGAGCTCCAGCCTCCGGGAAGGGCCACTCAACTCACAAAGCTGAGGCCCTTTAGGTCCTGAGCTAGAGCTGAGGTGCAAGATAGACGGCAACTCAGTATCTGACTAGCCACCCATCTGAGACAGACCACCTGCCTGAGGTCTGTGATGAGACCTGTGCCCAGTGTCCATAACAGTGATGAGCTGGTTCCTGGTCTGTCTGCCTGTCCCCATTGCCATGCCTAGTGATAACATGTCCCTTCCCTGTGTTCCATCAGCAACCGTGTGACAGGTGTGTATGAGCTCAGCCTGTGCCACGTGGCCGACGCAGGCAGCCCAGGTAGGAGACCAACCTGCTCACTCACTCTGCTGGGGCAAGAGTCAGCGCCCTGAGGTGCCTGGCCTGCTCGGCCTCCACTCTGCTAAGTTGGGAGCCTCACCAAAGTGTGGGTGCTCACCTTGCAGCCTCTAGGGTGTTCTCAGATGGGAGGACGGAGGGGGAGTGTCAGGCTTGCTGGCCACTATGGCCTCCAGGTCATAGTCCTGTGGATGAAGGACTGTTAGCTTCCTATTAGTGAAGCCTGCATGGCCCTGTGGTCTCAGGATGGACCAAGGCCCAGGGGAGCCCATCTTGACCCCATAGGAGTGGGGAGTCTCAGCAGCTAGGCCCCCAGCATTGGAGGAACCTGGTGTCAGAAGGTTAGAGTTTCCATTCCCATGCAGGGATGCAGCGGCGGCGCCGGCGGGTACTGGACACATCAGTGGCCTACGTCCGGGGTGAGGAGAACCTGGCTGGCTGGAGGCCACGGAGTGACAGCCTGATCCTGGATCACCAGTGGGAGCTGGAGAAACTGAGCCTCCTACAGGAGGTAAGGGTGGGAGTACTGAGGACCAAGAAGCATAGCCTGGCAGAACTAGATGGGTGTCACTGGGTCTACCACAGCTATGACCCAAAGCAAAGCCAGAGATGCTCCAGGTGCATGGGACCCATTGTGTTGAAGACACGTGGGCAGGAGATACAGGCCAGGGTAAAGCATAGGCGCCTTAAACTGCTTATCCCCAAAACACAGCCAGCTTAGACCAGGCTTATTCTCCAACCTCTTAGGGAGCATTTGGACTGGGGTGACAACAGTCTAGAGAGAAAAACAGATGGAGCTTTGTGGCTCCAATGTGGGAACGCACCCTCCAAAGCTGGTACTTTTAGTCCAGCTATGGGGTGTATATGGGAAGCAGGAAGAGGAGACAGAGCCTCCCTAGACCTGGGTGGAGGGAACGTGCAGTCTACGGCTCACCTCAGGGTCCAAGAGCATCATGATGCCCAGCTGTCTGTGAAGGAGACCACAGTTCTCACATAGGAGTGTTGAGTTCTGCCAGCATCGTGGTCTTCAGGTCACCAGCTGTAACCCAGACAGGATGGACCTTCCTGTCCTTGACCAGAGACCCTTGCTGCTGAGCGGGGCTGCTGGCTACCTGCCCTGGCTGTTGGAAAAGACACAACGCTACCTGCTCCATGGGAAAAGACCACTCACCTTGGTTCCCCTGGCAGGTGGAGAAGACACGACACTATCTGCTCCTGCGGGAGAAGCTAGAGACCACCCAGCGGCCCGGCCCCGAGGCACTGTCCCCCGTCTCCAGTGAGGACTCGGAGTCCCGCAGCTCCTCAGGTGCCTCCTCCCCGCTGTCAGCCGAGGGCCAGCCGTCACCTCTGGAGACTCCCAATGAGAGGCAGCGTGAGCTGGCTGTCAAGGTAGGTGTGACCAGTGGGTGTTGTGGCCAAGACCCCGTCTTCACGGGCTCTGGTCATTCCAGGGTGGCCCAGCAGCCTAACCTTATCTGTGGCCAGCTCTAGTCAAGAGACTCGAGGAGCTTGGAGGGCAGGGGCTTTGAGTCCACTTGCCTACTACCTCACCCACTGTGCTTTCAGTGTGGAGCTCTTGTAGACTCCACCCAGCAGTTTGCCCTCTCTGGAATCGCTGAGCCGATGGGGACCTCACTGCCTCCATCCAGGGCTCACCTTACTGCTGCTGGACAGGCTACCAGGGAGGCCTCACATCTTCAGGAGATGTTGCCTCCCAGTCTGCCTGGGGGTAGGGGGTCCCCAGCTTGCCCCGTCCCCTGGTTTGATGGCGATCTTGCCCACCTCTGCTTGCTTTTCTTGAGCTACTCCCATCTGCCAATGCCTGGGGCAGAGTAGGTGGAGGCCTGGCTGTGCCCATCAGCGCAAGTCTGACCATGTGTCCTCTACCTGCAGTGCTTACGCCTCCTTATGCACACGTTCAACAGAGAGTATACCCACAGCCACGTCTGCATCAGCGCCAGTGAGAGTAAGGTGGGTGGGGCCTGCATGCCTGTAGGGCTCTAGCATCCCACTGGACTGTGGTCAGGAACAGTCTTGGCCCCTCCAGGCAAAAGCAAGAGGGTTTTCATAGGAGCTCAATGCTCATTGCCCGGTGGGTAACGTTGCCTCATGGCTAACCAGCTAGTTGCCCTGGGCTCGGGGTCTAAGGAAGCTGGCGTGTGAGTGAGGGGCCCCGCCTGGCCCATACCACACAGTGGATGTCTGTAACTGTTGCTTGCTCTCTCTCCATCTCTTGGGTGTCATTATTCCTTCTGGGACCCTCATCCTGGAGGTCCTGCTCCCCTCCAAAAGCTCACTCACTACTCCCCACAGCCACCGAAGGAGGAAGCCTCCTGGGTCAGGAAGCCCTGGGAGGAATAAGCAGGGTTCTATAGGGGCTAAGAAAGGGTCAGGGGTACTAGGGCAGGGGGACATCTTGAGCTGAGGCGGGGAAGCCGGACTCAGCTACACTAAACAGAAAGTCAATGCAGACAGCCCCATCCCCCTAGAGGCGCAGCGACCCACCTAAGGAAGCCTTCCTCTCCCTCGCAGCTCTCTGAGATGTCTGTCACCCTGATGCGGGACCCATCCATGTCCCCACTGGGCACAGCCACACTCACTCCCTCATCTACCTGCCCCTCTCTGATTGAAGGACGCTATGGTGCCTCCGACGTGAGGTGAGTGAGCTCTGTGCTACTAGGGAATTTTCTGGCACCACAAGACAAGAACAGTGACTGAGACTTGGGGCACGGGGAACTGAGAGGAAGGATTTGGGGGGCTGCGGATCCTGCAGGGCCTGATAGGAAGGTATATTGGCCTTTCTAGAGTGCCTGACTCACGGCTGTGGCCTCCAGCTCCTCGCTGGCACAAGTGAGAGATGCGTTGGGGTATAAACACCCAAAAGGAGAAAAACAAATGAAAACACTTTTTTCCAGTGACAGGGCTCATAAAATATTCCAGGGAGAAAAAATGATGGAACAAAACTTGGGGTGCCAGGATTGCAAGTGAAGGCTGAGTCTGCATCAAAGTGTGGGAAGGAGAGACCACTTCCTGTTGTTAATGTCTCTGTGTCTGACTCCTAAGAGTTCAGGTCACTTTCACTCGTTCTTAAAAATGCATTGGACTTTTTTTTAAAAGAAAAAAAAGGAAAAAAGGCAGAAATCACGGAGCCTGTCCTGAGGCACCTTGCCTTGGTGAACACTGAGCTACCAGCAGTAATTTTCAAGAGGAAAAGAAGCTGGATCTGCCACCACACAGGGTGGAGGGTGGAGAGTGTCCTGGGGAAGGAATGGCGTCTCCCCAGATTGCAGAGCCTGCCCTGGCAGGCCACAGGCCACTGTGGAGCTCTCCCACCCAGCCCAGAATCCCTGGAGCCAAGTGGACTCTGTGGGGCCCCAGAGCTCCAGCTGGTGACACAGCCTGTCAGTCCTGAAGGCTTGCCCAGAGACTCTGAGAAGGGCATTTTCAGGCAGACCCCGGCCTCTTGCAGATCCCCAATAGGAGGCAACTACACCTTTCTGCTTTCAGGACCCCCCAGCCCTGCTCCCGGCCTGCGAGCCCAGAGCCTGAGCTGCTGCCAGAAGCTGACTCCAAGAAGACTCCCTCCCCTGCCCGGGCAACAGAGGCAGACAAGGAGCCCCAACGCCTACTGGTCCCTGACATCCAGGAGATCCGAGTCAGGTCTGTGAGGTCCTCATCTAAAGCAGGAGCATTCTAGACACACTAGCAAGCAACCCATGTGCAGAGCAGAGCCTGGTGCCAGAGGACCCCTCACCTATGTGCAGGCAGCTGCACATCAGGGTCAGCCAGTTCCCTTGGCCCCCATGCACAGAGCTGGTAACAGAGTAAAGGGCCGGTGACTGGAGTAGAGCCAGGACCGAATTGAGGACCCTGGACAGAGCTGTGGGCACTTGATACTGGGTGACAGCTCTAGAACTTTAGGGGTTTTTTTGTTTGTTTTTCCAAATTTTCTCACTGGAAGCTAGGGAAGATATCCCAAAGATAGGCTGATGGCTCTGACTTTGGGCACCCCAGGGTGAGGTCTGCCAGGATACCCCCCTATGCCTGGGCCACTCTCTTTCTGAGGGTAGGGCATGAACCCCTGACATTGGGTCCCACACCCCAACTGATTGCCCAAGATCCCTGAGCCAACAGTTGTCCCTGCTCTACAGCCCAATTGTCTCCAAGAAGGGATACCTGCACTTCCTGGAGCCACACACAGCTGGCTGGGCCAAGCGCTTCGTGGTGGTGAGGCGCCCCTACGCCTACATGTACAACAGTGACAAGGACACCGTGGAGAGGTTTGTGCTCAACCTCTCTACTGCCCAGGTGGAGTACAGCGAGGACCAGCAGGCCATGCTCAAGGTGCGGCCAGGGCCCAGCTTAGATGTGCTGCGTCCCCAGGGGAGGGGGCATCGTCTTCCTGTGGCCTTGCATGGGAGTGTTGGCACTGCTGCTCCCAGTCACGCTGAGGCCTCCACAGAGCTGGTCCTGGTGACCGCTCTTGATTATGGCGGGTGCCTCCATTCCCCCAAGCAATATCCAATAGCCAGGTCCTGCCCTGGGGACCCCAAAGCAGATGATACGACCCCTGCAGGTTGGGCAGAGCCTCACAGCTCTAATGAGCGCTTCTCCCCTGACATTGCCTGCTGGCCCTCCTCAAGCAAGTGCAGGTGCCCGGCTCCTGCAGCTGGTTGGGAAGGAAGACTCTCCCAGCATCTGGGAGGAGGCTAAAGCACCCACCGGAGAACCTTTTCTTTCCTGGAGTAGAGAGTAGGTGGTATGAACTCAGCTGCCACACACCCAACACAGGGTTCGGATGCACAGGGCAGGTCACAGCGTCCCAGGCAAGGGACATGGCCCATGGAGGGGCAGATGTATCTCCTAAGGTTACAGAGCAGCTTGAGCATAGTCCTGGGACAGGTTTCCTGACCCTAGAGGCTTCCAGAAGGGAGCTATAGCCCTGTGTGGTCAGGACAGGGTATGCGATCTGCAAAGAAGCCTGACCTCCCTCCCCAGGGCTGTGCTGTGGCATGTGGCCCTCTCTCCCACCCACCATTGTGGAAGGTTTCCCAGAGGCCTCCTCCCATCAGTGGTGATTACCGTGTCACCACAGAGCCTTCTCACCAGCAGCTTCCCTTTGCAGACACCCAACACATTTGCTGTATGCACAGAGCACCGCGGCATCCTGCTACAGGCCAACAGTGACAAGGACATGCACGACTGGCTGTATGCCTTCAACCCGCTCCTGGCTGGGACCATTCGGTAAGGGCTGGCTGGGCAGGGAGATAGAGACCACATGGGGACCTAGCAGATGCCCAGCTCTTGAGAGCTGGAGCACCCAGGGCTCAGCACTCCCTTGGACTTTATTTTTTTTTGTTTTGAGACAGGGTCTCACTATATAGCTCTGGCTGGCCTGGGACTTACTATGTAGACCAGGCTGGCCTCAAACTCATAGAGACCTCTGTAACCTCTTGCCTCCTGAGTGCTGTGGTTAAAGGCGTGCACCACCTCAACTGGCCATGTTGGGGTATTCTTGAACATGCTGATTCTCGTTCCTGTGTATTGCTGGCCATGAAGTGATAAGTCCACAAGGAAACTTTTTTTTTTGGTTTTCTGAGACAGAGTCCTTGTAGCCCCAGCTGGCCTGGAGCTCACTATGTGGACCAGCAGGCCTCAGTCTCACAGAGATCTGCCTGCCTCTGCCTGAGTTCTGGGATTAAAGGAGTGTGCCACCACACCCAGCTTAAGGAGACTTTCTGATTGCAGACTCTAATGAGTGGACTTTAACAAAGGGAAAGTAGGAGAGGGAGGACCCAGACCCTGGTGGGTGGGACCTTACGCCCTCCAACATCACAGACTTGATAAAGGGCATATAGGAAAGCCACAGGGAGGACTATGGTCTCTAACGCCACTCCCGAAGGACTTATAAATCAGAGAGAAAGTCTCTGTGTGAGGGGGACCAGAGACACAGTTCTACCGTGTGGCGTGGAGGTCTGTTGAACTGCCTCTGGCTACTGGAGGGCCTGGGGATCAACTCTCAGCCTTCACTACAGCTTTCCCACCTTCTCTCTAGGTCCAAGCTCTCCCGAAGGAAGTCTGCACAGATGCGGGTCTGAGTTGGAACCTTCCTGCCACCCTGAGGCCCAGACCACTCCCCTGTCCTCGCCCATCTGTCTTGTCATCTGTTGCTCAGCCCCTCCCCGACCAGGGAACACCTGTGCTGGGCCCAGCAACCCCACCTCTGGTGGAGGCCTGTGCCACATGACCAGTTGTGCCCTCTGAGGCCGTGTGTGTTTTTCTTCCAAAACTGCTAAGTTTGGTGTACCAGAAAGGTCAGAGGGCACAAGACCCCGGGTATTGCCGCCATTCTAATATTTTTTTAAGCATAGACAGACTTATAATTAATATACATTAGTTAGTGATGTTGAAACAGTCCATGGAGAAATTAAGACTGTGTTCTATTTCTAAGTATTTATTTCTAATGCCTACAGATAAAGCTGCAAGATTCAGGTGGAGCCCCAGCCCTGGTTCCCATGTATGTTTCCAGCCCGCTAGGGGGTAGTGAGGGAGGTGTGTGCACAAACCAGGGCTCCTCACAGTTGGCACAGGGGTGCTCTGCCTTTGCCACTCTTGTCTGAGGCACACCTGGACAGCATGTATGTGTGTGAAAGGATCTGCGGGTGCTGCGACGTCAGCAACTGAGAAGGTGTGTGCCGCTTCTGAGGGAACAGTTTCCAAAAGTACAGGACTAAGAGCAGTGCAGACAGCTTCTCCCCTCGAGTGGGGAGGATGAGCAGAGGTATGGTGACTGTCCTGAGTGGGGTTGGGAGGAAGAAGGTCAGTACCTGCTAGCTAGTGTGTACTGGTCCTCACTGGGCTGTGTCCAGGCTCTTCGGCTGGTGACTGGGTTTACACAGGGTTGTGGGCAGCAGAGATAGTTGGTGTTCTGAATGGAGTCTCACTGTAGCCTTGGGTGTCAGACAGAAGAGGTGTGAGTACCAGGTGGCTCTGGAAGGTCTGTGATTTTTGGATTCCTTACAGTCTTCTCTGCTCAGGGGAGTAGAGTTTGAGTCCCAGTGAGAGAAGGCAGTGAGTGATGTGGGTCCTAGTTAGGCAGATGAGGGTGACCATATGGTTGTCTTCATAAAGAGGCTCTCTCCTGCATCTGAGGAAATTGCTACACCCCAGGACCATTTGGAAATCCAGCAATCAAACCTCAAGTCCCCTCTTGGGAGCAGGTATACTCCACATTTAGCCATGCCAAATCTCTCCCTCCTCCATGGCCAGCTCCTGCCCCTGTCTGGATGAACTGGTGAGTTTTAGCTCCCTGTCAGTTCAGGCTGTTTATACATGGCACTGACATGACACATGGACACTCCTGAGGCTGAGGTGTCAAACCATCCTTCCTAGCTAGAGGCCATAGGAAAAGTTCTGGCTTCAGGGTCTCTTGAGATAACTGTCCAATCCCCTTGCCCTTTATCAGGCAGCAGGATTCAGGGTGACATCTGAGCTCACGCTGGTAGCAGTGTGTGCACCTGCCAGCCAGTGTGAACCCAGCTAAGGCTGAGAAATTGCCCTTCCATTCCTGGGCTCAGGTGCCGGATGCGTGGTCTCCATCATGCCCATCACCCTCACCCCCAGACCTGGGACACTCATCTTTAGTGTCAGGTCTCAGGAAACTATCTAGGAAGTGTTAGGGTAAAGCTTTCTACTAAGATCTCAGATCAAAGCATCTAGACCAAGGTTAAATCCTACCAGAAACCAAGTGACCTGTGCTGTCCAGCACCTCGGAGGCTTGACACAGAGAGGAGAGAGAAAAGTGTCCTTAACAAACGTACTGTGGCACTCGGGACCAACTAGAGGCAGGGAAGAAAAGTGGACAGAGTGAGTTGCTTGAATTATTTGGTTCCCAAAGGCTGCGCAGCCCCCAGCAGGCAGAGAGGCAGTCGGGCCTGTCATGCTTGCTCAGGTCAGCCAACCTGAAGCTGTGGCCTTGGAAGAGTCCGGCTCCACCCAGCACGTGGGTGTCTGAGGCCAGCCAACCTGCAGAGCACCTGTGCCTGGGTCGGGCTGTGGAAAAGGGAAGGAACTCCGAGTCCCTCCACCATCCAGAGGCCATTCTATTTTGGTCCTGTGCTATCCTGAATTGTTTGGGAACCCAGATGGACCCCCCTGCTTCTGTGAAAGGTCCCAAGTCAGAGCATAGTAACCAGAATTGATGGTGCAAGAAATCTGTCTACAACTCAGGAAACCTGGTTTCTTCATGCCCGCGCTGCCTCCCTATCCAACAGCTGAAGATCATTCTTCCAACATTCCTAATGACATGGAAACCTGGTTTGGTGGGGGCCTCGTGTCCCCTGGTGCAGAAGGAAGTCTTCCTAGCTGAGGTCTCTGTTTCCTGCTGAGGACAGAAAGTGACATGAATCAGAAAGCCACCTCCACAAGCAGTTTGGTTTTGATGCTTGATACTGCTCAGGCTATGGCTTCAATTTGATTTGGGGTGATCATCCTTCCTGGAAGGGTGAGTTATTTCTGCAGTCCAGGAGGGGGCTGGGCTCCTGTGAGACCCTAGTCATGCCTGGGTAATACATCTGGGGCCTCCTGCTCTAAGCAATCATGCCAACATCTTATTCAGCTTTCTCTCTCTCTCTCTCTCTCCCTCCCTCCCTCTCCCTCTCTCCCTCTCTTTTCACACACACACACCCACACACGTGCGCGCACGCCCAGGACAGCCATATTAAATGGCCCTCCTCATCCATCCTGGTCCCTGGAGCCACTCCCCTGGGTACCTCAGGGTTACTGAACTATGGCTGATGTTATAGATGTGACCAAGGCTGAGGTATTGGTTTTCTGCCAGCTTCACCCAGTGTGGGGACCCCAGGAGGCAAATTCCTTTACCCCTGGGGCTGAAGCCATGCAGTCCCCAGCATGGACAGACCCTGGCTGACCTGAGTGTGTCCTTGGGCCTGGGCCCTCTGTAATTTGTCTGTCCCGATTACTCCTTGCAGCTCAGAGGCTGCATCCCTGACTTGTACATACGTATTGCTGTGGGCACCCCCTGGACTCTGTGTTGTAACCATCCAATGTAATGACTAGTTTCCTGCTGTTTACACCTGAGTGTTAGCTGTAGGCTCCTGTACTGTTTGTGTGCACTTAGGGCTCTGTCCAATTAAGAAAATAAAAGTGGCTCTTATGCAATACACATTATTTTATTTATTTATTTATTTATTATTTATTTATGCCTCTGTCTGCTGGATGTGGCTGAAAATGTGTGCAGGTGCCCTTATCCAGCACAGTCCAGAGACGAAACTGACTGCCTATGGGTAAGGTGGGGTGGGGTGGCTTCTTAGGAGGATAGAGAGGACAGATTATGGGAGATTTTTGAAGGGCGAGAGGTACAAGAGGTGTGCTAGCCGAGCCTGTCCCAAGTCCCCCCCACCTGTGTGTACCAGGTTCCAGTCAGGTTGCTTCAAACCAGCAGCATTTGGGATTGGGGTCTCAGAGCCTCCAGCCCATGGGGTGTATGCCAGGTCCTAGAGCCTCACACTTTCATAGGGGTACCGATAGGAGACCCTCACACACAGGGCCCTGGCCTTGCCGAGGGCTGAGCTGCAAGTTTAGGGCCACCATTGATAATTTATGGGCATGTAAGAACTAGGTCTAAGGTCTCAAGAAAATGATCACATAATCCAAAGTATTTTAGCAAGGCAAAATTTCAACAGAAGGGTGCACAGCTGTACCTACATGGGCAAATACAGCCGGTGGGGGAGGGGTGCTGCCTGGGATTTTTATTCCTAACACAAAGGGGGGGGGGTCTGTGCCTCATTTTAAGTGGTCAAAGATTATTCTCACTTTCTTATGAGATTGGCTAATGCAGAGCAGCACAGTTTCTAGGGAGAAATGAAGCAAACATATATTTTGATTTCAAAAAATGCTACCCCTGGAGGAGGGGGGATTTCTGCCACGTGATGTCTTTACTTTTTAAAAAATGGAGTTTAATCTTTGAGAGAAAAGACAATATATATGCTTATATTCTCCACAAGAGGATGGGTGTTGGGCAGACCCCAGTCATCTTTGTAGCCTGCAAGTGAGAGCTGGTCACCTCCAGAGGAAGGAATGGGTCTGTGGGGAGCAGAGAGAGGCTCTAGAACCACCTGTTGTGCCCCCCTCTGGCTGCAGGTAGGACTGCTGCACTTACCAAGTGCTGGGGGAATGAGTAGGTCTCTCAGGCATGGTAGGCTCTGGGCTTGTGGTTGGTGGGGACCAGAGGCAGCAGGGGGCAGGAGCTAACCTTGTCCCCACTTCCTGAACTTTGGATAGGACACTTGTGGTCTTCTGGCCCTGATCTCACTGGACTTAGCCAGTCTGTGGGTGTGCCTGTGGAATGGAGGATCTGGCAAGATCTCTCCCACATGCTCCAAAGCCGAGTTTGGCTCCCCAGAGATACAACATGGCTCTGGGACACTTGAGCCCTGGGAAGCTATAGTGTAGTTTGGCCACTGAACAGGGCCATCTTTGAGGTCACCAGACAACTGAGATAACAGTTGTTTTCATAGTTCAGGGCCAGGATCTGAAGTCATTTTAGGGCAGGGGCTCAGGGCAGGGCCCACTACTTAGGATGGATAGCAGGATATTCCTGGGCCCTGGCCTCAGGATCCAGACTCCAGCTCTCCACAGCCCAAGCCAGGCTCTGGGGTGGCATAACAGGGAGGAGGAATGGGCCCAAGTGGGGAAGAAGGGAGTCAGGGGCCCCTCCACTTTGGCCTGCCACTGGTGCCTTCCTTAGGGGATGTAACTGTTGGTCTCCTTCCTTGGCGGGCCTGGACATGGTCTAGGAGTTGGGGGTGAAAGTCTCAGGGTCTTCTGCCTCCCTGAGTGTCCTGGGGGCTATGAAGGCTTTGTAGACTCTTTCAGGGCACAAGAAAGATCATCTTCCAGGCAGGGGTGACAGTGGCCTCACACTGAGTTGGGACATGGGAACAAGCATCAGAAGAACTGGCCACTTGGCCTGGCCTGGGAGAACTGCTCACCAGGGACTGTGCTAAGCAGCTGTGGGACATTTGAAGCTATTATGGTTGTCATGGTGAAAGCTTGCCAAACGTTGATTGACAGCTCCATGTCTTCTGTGGAAGCACCAGGGCTGAGTCCTGAGGACACTGTGGTTGCTGAAAAAGGTCAAAACTCTAGTCCGCTTCACACTGCTAGAGATCTGCCTTGGAGAGATGGAAGGCTATGCTCAGGCCGATGTGTAAAATGACTCTTCTCAACTGCTCCAAATTGAAAATGATTCAAATGTCTTTCACAATATGAATGGTAAGATACACCAGTCTATACCATGGAAAGCTTTGCAGCCATAAAAACGAACCAGTGCCTGCAAAACCTTGGGCAAATCTCAAACACACTGCATGGAAAGAACTAACCTCCAAAGTTTACATTTCACATGGATGCATTCATGTGTCATTCTCAGAAGGACAGGATTGGGGTTGGGGGATTAGTGATCACCAGGGGCTGTGGTGGGGGCAGCCTCAGCTGGTTAACATGAGTTTTCTGGGATGATAGAACTATTCTGTGCTCTGATTGTTGAGGTGACCACATGAACACATATATTCTTTAACATTCACAGCTGGGCATGGCGGCTCATGCCCTGGGGAGATGAAAGCAGGCCAGAAGACTTGCTTCAAGTTGGAGATCAGCGTGAGTTACAGTATGAGACCCTGTCTGGAAAAGCCAAAAATTAATAATAATTCATAAAACTGCACATAAAAATTAAAATGTCAGCACTGCTTTTTAGGATTTTAAAATAGGTCTAAAAGCAATTCAAGAGATAAAGGCTAGTCTTACAAAAGAAAGCAAATTGTTTTAAAACATCTATGTGAAAATTATCCCCATCCCACATCTCGCACTATACACAAAATTATCTTAAAGAGGAACACATGTCTAAATATGAATTTTAAAACTCTAAGACTTCTGGGTAGAAAGTTTTCTATGGCCTTGGTGAATGTCTTGGTAACTTACCTCATTGCCACAGCAAAATACCTGACAAAATCAACTCAAGGAAGTAAGGGTTTATTTTGGCGGCAGTCCATCAAGGTGGGAAGTCATGGTGGCAGGTAGGAGGTGGCTTGGTCACACCCTCTCTACAGTCAGAACACAGAGCAATGAATGCAGGCATTCAGCTGGCTCTCTCCTTTTCATTCAGCCTAGTACTCCAGTCCATGGAGTGATACTGCCCGCAAATGGGTGGGTCCTCATCCCCCATTTAACCCACTTTAGCTAATCCCACATGCACATGCCCAGAGATTTATTTCCATGGTGATTCTAAATCCATCAACTCAAGATGAACCTTCACAATAAAGTACATAACTGATAAGAGGCCTGTACAGATTACAAAGAAGCCTCAAAATTCCACAGCACGAAAGGCAAACAATTGGGACTGGAGGGCTCGGGGGTTAAAGAACACAGTCTACATTTGCAGAGAACCTGAGTTTGGTTCCCAGTATCCATGTTGGGTGGCTTGCAATCACCAATAACTCAAGCTCCAGGGGGATCTAACACTTCTGGCCTCCAAGGGTACCCACCCTCATGTGCATTTAACACCCCCACAGACAGAATTTTTAAAAAATAAATCTTTAAAAAAGCAAACAACCCAATTTCAAAGTTAATTAGACATACACAGATGCTCGCCGAAAAGGATGTATGGACAGTAATCAAGCAGATGAAAAGATGCACAAAGGGTCAACCCAGAGGGAAACACAAAGGAGACCTCAGCAGAGGCCCTTGCTCCGAAGCAGATATTTGATTAATTTCATCGTATCCGTTTATTTTCCTTGATGCGAATATACAAAGTATGTTAGTTACATTTCTCATGGCTCCAACAAGAGCAGCTTGAGGAAGGATTTATTCGGCTCACAGTGTCAGAGCTTCCGTCCACCATGGAGAGGAAGGCATGGCAGCTGGCTGGAATGACTCTGTCCATGGTGGAGCGAGCTGGTGGCTTGTTCACATCTTGGTGGCTCAGGAAGGAGTTAGGACCAGAAGTGGGGCCATGCTTTAACCCTTAAAAGGCTGACTCTAGTGACCCGCCTCCTCCAGTGGTGCCTGCCATCCCAAGGATTCCCAACCTCTCCAATCAGCACCACAAGCTGGGGTCCAAGTATTCAAACACATGGCTCTGTAGGGCACATTTTATATTCAACCTCTATCTTTGAATTTCCAAGCGCTCTGTGGCGTTCCTTTGTTAGAACAATTCAGGCCTCCTCACAAATTCTGGATTACCATGGTGACTGCTGAGTTACTGATGCACAGATACATGTGATTCTCACATCCTCACTGTACATCATCATTGTAACATCATCAGGTGCTAGTATCATCTTAACACATCTGGGCCTGAATTCTACCATGTCGTGTAACAGTTGTGACCTGACAGTTCAATCCTACTTGCCCATCCCTTTACTCTTACCCATCCCAACATGCTGATGGATGGGGCAGCACTGGGTTTGCTCCTTGCATTAGTTACATTCTGTTGGTATGATAAAACACCATGACCAAAAGTGATTTGTGGAAGGAAGAGTTCATTTTGGCTTAAGATTTCAGAGGGAACATCCATAAGGGGGAGGGGCATGACAGCAAGCAGCAGGCATGGCAGCAGGGGCAGGAAACTGAGCAACCACCTCTCCATCCACACATAGGGAGCAGAGAGAGAGAGAGTGAACAGGATCAAGGTGGGACTGTAAACGCTCAAAGCCCAAGCCCGATGATGTACTGCCTCCACCCCCTAAAGGTTCCATAACCTACCCCAAAGCGCCACCAACTGGGGCCAAGTGTTCAAATATGAATCTGTGGGGGACAGTTCACATTCAAAGCACACTGGGATCCTCTGGCAATGTGCAGGTGGGTTTTCACTTCTTATTGTGACTAATATACTTGGTTTCAGCTATGTAGTTAGCACTGTGTGTGTGTGTGTGTGTGTGTGTGTGTGTGTGTGTGTGTGTGTCTGATATGTACTGTGCTTTGGATTGCAGGGAATGGGGTGATCAGGCATAGTCACCCAAGAACAGGAGAGGACCTGAGCGGAGAGGATGACAACTCATGGTGCCTTTGCCCTTGGCTGGTCACCAGCAGAATGCCACACAGCAGACACACACCTTCCTACAGCCGTCAGAGCATGGTCAATACAACAGGGAACCTAGGGTTGGCTCCTCCTGACCAGGGCATACTCAGCCACCAGGCACAGCTTGGCCATAATCTGAGCCAGCTGCCAATACACAGCAACGATGGTGGCAAGTAGAAGCCCAGGTGCCCAGCAAAGACACAGCCCTGCTGCAGAGTCAGGCAGTTGGGCTCCGGTGGCCCTGAAGCTGTAATCCTGGCCTGTGGCCAACCTGGCCCCTGGGCTTTCCTGAGTAGAAGCTCCAGGCCCAGGTCCCACCTATGCTCACAGAATGGCAACTAGTTGCCAATACCCTATTCTGTTGTAGCCTGGAACATGGCCTCACTTCCAGCCCCCAGCACGACACCATGGTCCAGCACCTCAGGTTCCAGACCAAAAAGGTGAGTTCTCAGCTGTGACACAGGGGCAATGGGAGCACATGGATCTGACGTGACCTGCACACCTGCTCTTCTGTGTCTGTGAAACACACAGCCCAGTGGCACAGGGGACCTTAGGACTCACCCAGGCTGGTCACACAGATGCATCTGGAAAGGCCCCTGTCTACCAGCCCTGCTTCCCCACTAGAAGAGGAAGGTGGCTTCATGGCTGTTCCTCACCTGGGGGTCTTGGGAAGTGGTTAACAATGGCCCTCAAGTCCAGGAGGACCGATAGAGTGGGTCCTCTTGCCCAGTGCTTCTGGATGGATTGATGCTCACATCAGAGCCTAGACAGGTGCGAGAAGCTTGTGCAGGCCTGAGCCTAAGGTCACTCTGTAACCTTGAAGCTGTTCCCAGAGTCAGTTGTTCCCCACAGCGTGCCTCCCAGGGTACATGCGTCACTTTCTGGATCACACCAGTACCTTCTACAGTCCCTCCAAAATCACCATGAAGCCACTCCCTCCAAGCCTCCTTCCACAGGGCTTCCCAGAGCATGCTGCCCTGACAGGCCTGGTTCTGATGGCAAAGGTGGTGGCCAGGTGTTTCCACCTGGTCCCAGGGCCAAGCACCTGGACAAGTTCCTGATGCTGCTGTGGAATGTTACATAAGGGGCCTGAACCAAAGGTGACCTTCTCCACCAACCAGCACGCAGATGTCACCTTAGCCGCTCCTGGCATGTGTGTGCTGGGGAGCTCCCCCTGCAGGCCCAGCCGATACACATCTGCCTCTGGCACAAGGGCCGTGCAGTTGGTAGGGCTCGACCACGTCCTGGAGTCGGTCCTGGGCTGCTGGCTGGAAGCTCAGTGTGATTTTTTTGTAACACAGTATAAATTTCTTTATTAATAAAAGGTCTGGGTGAGTCACACAGTTTTCTTGGACCTTCTCTGCAAATCCATTCGTTATTTCTTCAAAATTTGCATTTTTAGCAACTTCTAGCACATTAAGCTCATGAAAGCAATGTTGGACCTTCACCTGGCAAATGCAAGCTTGAAGATTCTGACAGTCTTTTGAGAAGAGTCTTTCTGCTGGGGACCTGAACCCATAAATTTTACATTTATTTTTCACATTGATAATTGGATTCTCTGAAGTTGCATTTGAAAATTGTGGCATCTTTCCAACCAAACTTATCTTATTTATTTATTTATTTATTTATTCATATTTTGGTCTTTTTTGAGACAGGGTCTCCCTGTAGCCCTAGCTGTCCTGGAACTCACTATGTAGACCAGGCTGGCCTTGAACTCACAGAGATCCTCCTGCCTCTGCCTCCCCAGTGCTGAGATCAAAGGCGTGCACCACCACTCCCGGCTTATCTTTAAATTTTTGTTTCAATGCCTGTGGGCTTTGCTTAATGCCAACACTGTCAAGATAGAGGTTCTGAGTTCTGCGGGTGAGACTCAGTGCTGTGCTACTGGGCCCAGTTCACTTCACTTAAGTGGACACTTTCTGTCCTCGTGATGACTTAACTGAAACTCGCAGTCTATGCACCAGCAGGGTTTCTGTCTTGGCCATCTGTGCAGGCCAGGGGGACCCCGGGGCTGCCAGTCACCATGGGTCTAGTGCAGCCACGAGGAGCTGCCCCCTCTGGCACTACTATAGCTTCTAGGACATGACCCCAGCCCTGAAGAAGTTACAAATCCCTGAAGGGCACTGACAGGCCCAGTGCCCAGCCTCACCACCCCTGAGCACTCACCATCCTACAGCCTGGTCAGGTGCTCTGGAGGCCGCACAGGGCAGGCACTCCAGCCCCTTCTAGTGACCATCGGGGAACTGGGCTCCTTGTCACTAGGTTGGTCACACCAAGGAGGGTAAGGAGAAGACTAGGGGTTCCAGAAAGAGCAACTCCTCTGCCAGGATGAATAGGCAGAAGGGTCTTAGACAGGGTGAAGGGAGCCATGGGAAGGCTAGGAGGCTCTTCTTCCCCTTCATGTGGTCTCACCAGCATCCTGGAAGCCCGGATGTCTCCTTGCTTTGTCTTCTAGTCCTGTTCTACCACAAACCAACCAGCCCAGGGACTCCTGGGATAAGGCTTACTCTGGTTTTGTGAGACAAACAGGCATTGTCCTGGGGTCCGGGGAACTTGGTGGTTAGTTGAGCCAGGTGTTCTGTGCCCAGCCGAACCTGAAGCCTTTACTGCATTTCCCACTGCAAGTTCACTGCCATCCTCGGGCTCCCCAGAGAGTCTCAGGCCTCCTTTAACTGTGTCCAGAGTAGCCAGACCCAGGTATCAGGTTATCGGGCTTGGCGACTATTACCGACTGAGCCATCTTGTCAGCTCACCCTGGGCTTTCTGTCAATCCTTATGGCCCCAATTTTTATTCTCACACTGTAAACAAGAGTCAGGAAATAACTTGTAGTCTATCAAGGGGACTTACCCTTACCTGTCCATCCAGAAGCCTCTGTCAGGCCCAGGGAGACAGGTGTGTCTTATTATTAGTTTATTGGCAAATGGTTTCTGTGAAGTGGAGCCCAGGAGTCCCAGGGACAATCCAGGGTCAAAATCCTCAGGGTGCCTCACTGAGCAAGGCGGCTCAGCTAGAGCCCAGTGGCTACTGCCCTGGCTTGTACCAGGTCTTTGCCCCTTGTGGGCTTCTGGGTGTCCACAGAAACTGGGGCCACTTTCCCTCTGGGAGTTCGGTACTTGCTCTTCTGTCGGTAGAGGAGGTTTCTGTGGAAAAGGCGAGGCAGGTGGCCCTGATGGAGCAGGCCAGCCAGGACCATCCCTGAAAGAGATGGAGTCAGACTGTAGAGTGGCCTGGACATCACAGCGCAGGCCCTTCCTACAAGGCTCCTACTAGGACTCTTCCTGCCTGCCACATCCCTTTTGGGGGTCCTGCTCCCTGGCACTGAGGACAAGCCAGCCAGCCCATGTGTAGTCAGTGTGCTTCTAGACCATGCTCCGGGGACGTAGGATCCAGGATTCCCCGCACAAATGCCCCCACCATGCTCATAGCTGTAAGCCCCTCTTTCGGGCTGCCTCTGAGGATGGTGTGGTGAGCAGGGCTGCTTTCAGTGAAGGGAGGTTGAGAGAGAAGAGCGGGGTGGAGCTGAACTAGGAAGAACCGGGTGCCTGGCTCAGTCTCCATAATGGTTCTGATACCCTAAGTCCCCACCTGGTCTCCAGGTCGTCAGAGGATCAGTTAGCCAGGGCAGAAGGAAAGACCGAATTTTTCTGTTTAAGGTAGCCCCTACTTGGAAGTCACTTGGTCCCACCAATGTGGCCTGCCCCAGTTCCCATTAGTGGCAACCCTGGCTGCAGAGAAAGACCCTTGCGGCCCCAACCTGCCTTGCTCACTCCACTACTGGCCTTGGTCATCCCCTGAAGCAGCCCAGGGCAAGACACCAGCTCAGGGTCTCCTGACCAGCGGAAGGACCATACGGTTCCAACCAGTCCAAGTGACGCGACTTCCCGATTTTCCCCACCAGGGGGCGCTGCCTCCCAGCGGCCTCATTCTCTATGGTGAAGTGTGTGTGTGTGTGTGTGTGTGTGTGTGTGTGTGTGTGTGTCTGCCACAGCACATGTGGGGGTCAGAAGACAACCTAGGGTGTCAGTCTGTCTTCTACCTTGTTTGAGTCAGAGTCTTTTTTTTTGTTGCTGCTGCTTTACACAAGGCCAGCTGGCCCACAAACCTCCAGGATTCTGTTTCCACTTCCCATTTTACCTAGGAGCTGGGCTTACAGGAGCTTACTGTGTCCAGCTGTATGTAGGTTCTGTGACTTGAACTCAGACCCTCACTCTTGTGCAGCAAGCACTTAAATGCGGAGCCATCTTTCTAGTGCCTCCATGATGAATTCTAACTAAACTTCTAGATAAAGATCATTCATTCCTGGAGCCAGGCTTGGTGGTACATGCCTGCCATCCAGCACTCCAGACAGGAAAATCACAGGTCTGAAGCTAGGATGGCCACATCAGAAGCAAAGCCCCCATTATGAGGGAGCAGGAGGTAAGCATGGAGGTAACCTACTTAAAGTTACTCCTGAAACTGAAAGATTGGGGTGGGGGCAATGGTTTAGTCAGTAAAGTGCTTACCACAAAGGCATGAGGATTTGAGTTTAGTCTCTAGCACCTAAGTTAAAAAAAAACAAAACAAAAATGGGGCTGGAGAGATGGCTCAGCACACAAAGGCATGAGGATTTGAGTTTAGTCTCTAGCACCTAAGTTAAAAAAAACAAAACAAAAATGGGGCTGGAGAGATGGCTCAGTGGTTAAGCACACTGACTGCTCTTGCAGAAGACCTGGGTTCAATTTCCAGCACCTACATGGCGGTTACAAACCATCCTTAACTCCAGTTCCAGTGGAATCCGAAGCCCTCTTCTGATCTCCGTGGCATTGCACAACACGGGTACACTCACATACATGCAGGCAATATACTCATACACATAAAATAGAAATAATAAATAAAATATTTTTTCAAAAAACAGACACAGTGGTGTACAACTGTAATTTACCACTGGGGAGGCAGAGACAGGAGAATCTCTGAGACTCGTTGATCAGCCAGCATAACTTAATTGGAGAACTGGAGGTCAGTGAGAGACGCTGTCTCAAAAAAACAATGTAGACAGTACCTGAGAAATGACACCCAAAGTTGACGTCTGGCCTCGTTCACATGGACATCTAGCTACACATAAATAAAATAAAACTGAAAAGTCACCGAGGATGTAAACAGGAAGCCATCCACACAAATGGCCCATGGGAAGGCACATGTGGCCATGAGGTAGAACCTGGCTTTTCTAACATACTGTAAGAACCCAGGTTACAAATGATGAGGCTGTCACGGCCATCATCCAAGGTATGTGTCTGTGGGAAGAGCTGGGACTTCTTTCTCCCCTCCCCTGGGGCTGAGGCTCTGCTGCCAACACCTCCCTACCAGTGTGGATCTAGCAGGAGTGGAGAGCTTCTGGGGTTCCATTGGACCCAGTCACCCATCTGATTAGATCTTGGAGAATGTGGGGGAGCCAAATGCTTAGACCTAGTGTCAGAGAGGAGTCTGTCCAAGTATGGACCCTGTGTCCCAGAGGCTTCATGGATCTAGAATCCAACAGGCAGCCCTGATTGGGTATTTAAAGATACCCAGAGAGTGGGGAGCCCCTGGCACAGGGGAGCCCCACGACAGCCCCACTACAATGCCCCAGGAGGATCCACTTCTCCACACCCCAGTCTCTACCTGGCACATTTCCTCTGTGATGATCCAAACCCAGACCATCACAGTCACCTCCCCCAACCTTGTACACTGCAGAGATCAGAAGACCAGATCTAGAACCCCTTACTCTCCGCCCCCAGCATCCCAGTGAGTCAGGAGGGGTAGCTGCACAGGAACGCCCTGTGTGTCTATCTCCACCCTTCCTTCAGTCACTGCCCAGGTAACCTTGGCCTTCCTCACCTGTCATAGGACCCAGGCAGTACACCTGGGCATACTCCAGCAAGGTGTTTCCAGAGCAGCTGAATGTGACAGAGGCAGCCAGGGCAGGGTTAAAGAAGGCAGATGTGTAGGGTCCAGCTGTGGAGAGAAGCACAGGATCCTCATGGGTTGGCCATGCCTGCAGCTGCCGATCCAGCCTGCGCCAGAGCCACCTCAGATAACACTGCCAGACGCACTGAATTCTTGGCATAGGGGCCTGGGGACAGCGGCCTCTCCACTGTCTACGGATGGACGCAAAGGACTGAGGCCGGTGCAGCCAAGGCCAAACGTCACAAGAGAGGAGCCGGGACCTGGATTCCCCAGAGATAGCCAACGTGCTCCCCACACCTCACCTGGGACTCTGCCTCAGTAATCCTCCTCTCCCACGTTCTTACCTCCGGGGAGGTGGCCTCTGAGAGTCAGGAGAGAGACAGTGAGTCAGACGGGGAGGGAGAGGAGAGACAGGAACAGAAGAGAAAGAAAAAGATAGGGAGAGAGAGAGGAGAGAGAGAGAGATGGGGAAGACAGGGAAGGAGGGAGAGAGAGAGAGAGCGAAAGAGAGATAAAGCCCTGAGTCAGCCGGAACAGAAGAGAAAGAAAAAGATAGGGAGAGAGAGAGGAGAGAGAGAGAGAGATGGGGAAGACAGGGAAGGAGGGAGAGAGAGAGAGAGAGCGAAAGAGAGATAAAGCCCTGAGTCAGCTCCATGGTAGAAGAGATGGGGTGAGGAGAGCGGTTAAACGAGTCAGCATCTTTCAGATCATGCCAGGAAGCCAGGCAATGCCACTAGGCAGGCAGAGCAGAGCCTGGACCCGAGGAAAAGCAGGTTCCAGGTGGACCTAGAACTGGGCTTCAGTACACAAGCAGCTCCACAGAGGGAGGTTGGAACCCTGGACCTTAGTGTGAGGGATGACTGCCTCTGTACAGTCTGTTAGGGAGCCCAGCCCTCCTGTGTTCCCTGATCTCCCTCACCTCACTTTCCCCATCTATACAAGGTGCTGGAGGCCCTTCCCATGGCCTTGCTGGGAAGGATCACAAAGTGACTGTCCTGTGCTGGTTCTGGCTTCCTGGGGTACTGGTCTACTTGAACCAGCCTTGGGAGACCTTGACTCTGGTCTGCTGTGGGCATTCACAGAGTCTGTTCACAAAATCTGCAACGCCAAGGAGCCTACAGTGCTGCTTGTCCTGGGAGCCCATGCAGGGACAGCTCCTTCAAAGTGGAGCCTAGGGCTCTGTCTGGAAAACAAAATCAGTGCAGTGCCCCTGATTCAGCTTGAGCTGGGCTTAGAGTAGCTCCCATAGGGCACCAGCAATCACGGGAACCTGGTCAGGATGTCAGGCTGGCAGGGGCAGAGGTCACAGGGGATACTGCTGTCTCGGGGCTGAGGAAGGTAGAGACCCAGGGAGAAAGAATCCATAGGACTTGTCACCCTTGATAGGAGATCTTCTCAGAGTCTGTCAGACCACAGTCAGAGCCAGGCCTTAACGAACTGCCCAGCTGCCCCAGGTGAGATCTTCTGAGACGGACAGAGCAGCTGGGGGTTGGGGAGAGATAGTTGGTACAAAGTTCCCCTACACATAATCCCAGGTCCAGTCTACCAGTCTATGTTGACCTTGCAGGGGCCCAAGAAGTGGCCACCCCAGTCTCCAAGGGCTTGTGGGCCCCTCAGCCAGCAGACCCCTCCGCTGGGTGCCCATACAGGTCCTGAGATCCTGACAAGACCAGCAGAGAAGAGAGCAGGTCTTACCTGTGTAGGCCATGACGGTGACCAGCAGAGCCAGGGCTGGCACCCTGTAGACTGGGAGGCTGTGCCGCAAGTGGAGTAGGCTCAGGTGGAAGAAGAAGGCGCAGGCGCCCTCCACCAGAGCTCCCTGGAAAACCGATGTGCGCAGGGTCGAGCTGCAGTGTGCAGCCATGAGCCTCTGTAGCAAGTGCAGCTCGCTGAGCTCCCAGGCCCAGCAGCGCCGGGTCAGGACACAGGCGGCCTGTGCACCCAGTACCTGGGCAGCCAGCTTCAGCAGCATGCTGGGCAGCGATGCCTCCGCCATGAGGAACTCCTGCAGGGCCACGGTGGGGTTGGCTGAGGCCCCGTCAAACGTAGCCCCGTGAACCACGAAGAGCAGGAAAATGAGGGTCAGCAGCAGGTCCGGCCCAAAGTTGCCGGCCCAGGGGCCGAGCTCCACCAGCACCCGCATCTCCAGGCAGCAGGCTGCCAGCTGGGCTGCAGCTACTGCTTCCCGGGCAAAGCTAGCATAGGTGCCCGCCGGGAGCAGGGCTTTGGATGCCCTCCTGGCCACTTCACACAAGGTACAGGTGGCAAAGAAGAAAGAAAGGGACACGTTCAGACCTGCCATCAGCCTGGACTTTACAAGGAGCTGTACTGAATGGGTACTTGGTGACGTGTGAGAGAGGAGCTGGGTGAGCTTAGGAGAATCCATCTGGGCACTGGGAACACCACACCTGTGCCCCTTACTGCCAGCCCTACTTGTCACCAGGCCAGTGCTGCAAGAAACACCCACAGTGGCCCCACCCTGCTTGGCGTCCTCCCTGGGCTGAGGCACCCCAGGCCCTGTTCCCTCTCTTGCTAGACCTGGGCACTGGAGACTGGCCACCTTCTTCAAAGCTTTCACAAACTCCATGACTCACACCTGGGCTCCTGGTGCCAGGATCATAACACCTGTTCCCTGCACCTGCAATGTGGCCCTTTCTGGTCCCTCAGCCCCTGCATAAGTGCTATGTCCCCTCCTGGGCAGGGCTCCCAGCTCTGTCCAGACACTGGGTCTCCTACCAATGGAATCAGCCAAGAAGAAGCAGCTGCACTGGGACCTGCTGTCTGGACCAGGCCCCCCTGCAGGAGAGCGGTGACTGACAGGACACTGAACTACAGAGGTGGGCCACTTCACCATGGTTTTGTTTTTCTGCTTGGCAATATTCATCAAACAAAGCACATTTCTAAGAAAGGCTATAGGAAACGCTGAGTTAAACGACTGACTGAAAAGTCCTGCTGCTTGCTACAGACCCCAGGATGTGAGGGACCAGGAAGAGGACCGGTGTCACTCACAGAGGACAATGCCCTGCACAGCCCCTACCCCTTCACCTTGCACAGAAGCATGAGGAGGCACCTTCCTGAGGTCATGTCTCTGGGCTGTGGTTCTCAGGACTAGAGAAATCAGAGGGCTGGAGGGCACTGTGAGGACTCTGTCCTGGGTTCTGGCCTGGCTGCTCAAAGCAAACAGCCTGGAGGTCATGGTCCTGGAGGTCATGGTCCTGGAGGTCATGGTCCTGGAGGTCATGGTCCTGGGGGCTTGTCGCCAGGACTCCACACTGACACTGTGATGGGACCAGAGGAGGAATGTGTGCAAAGAAGAGTGGGTAATCACTCTGAGACTGCGGACGGTGTCCTCCAGGCATGGGACAGGCTAAGAGAAGCAGACACTACTGGGGGAGTGTGAGCCTCCTCCCTCCTACCTGTCCTGGGGGAAAGGGTAGAAGAGACCCAGACAAGCCATGACCCAGCCATGGAGAGGACATTTCCAGGAGACTCTGCTATGCTCAAAAACCAAGTTGAAGTCTTAACGGTGTTCCCCAAGACCTTACTCAGGCTCTGATAAGGACTGCAGTGTGGGAGGTATGGGCAGGGTGAAGGATCCCACCTTGCTGCCCCCCCCCACAGCAGGCCAGCACAGGAGTTCTGCAGGACTTCAGACACCACCAGGAAGACCATTTGAGAAGGGGGACAGTGACTCTACCTTCATGCCCTCAGTAGGCCACTCACAGTTGCCCCGGTCCCTCTACCTGCCTCTCAGGGGAAGGCAGAAGCCCCATCAGCCTCCCTGCTTCCTGCCCAGTTGTGGGTCTGAGGTGAAAGCCATAAAGACTCCACTGAGATCAGAATTAGAAAATTTAGAGAGATGGTGTTGGAGGGTGACATCAGCAGGGGACTGGGAGCCAGGCCTAGCCACTAGCTCCTGACCCCCAGGGGATGAGGCAGCAGGCTGACTGCTCCCTGTGGTATAGGTCTCTGCCTGGCGTGTCAGGGCACGTTTAATGCGGAGTGGAAACCCAAGCCACTTCTCCACCAGAACCAGTCAGGCCACGTGGCTGGGGTCCTTTCATCTCTGCCACATCTCCACTCCCTCAAAAGGAAGTTTGTCCTAATTTTCCTAAACCTAGGTCTGTCCCCCCACCCCAGTGTACCCCTTGCACACATGAGAAGACTGAGACTCAGGGAGGGACACGGCCTGCCTGAGGCCAAGGAGAAGCAGCAACCTGGAAGACCCGAAGTCAACTGTTTTCAAACTCCATGTATAATTTTAGGATCTGTAAGTTTCCCAGAGGTGGAGGAGGCACTTGGTCCTTTCCAGGGAGGAAGAGAGGCCGCCAGACTTCACAGCTCCAACAGGGTTCCACTGAGGCCTTTATAGGGAAAGTTCCTTCCTCCCCTGCCCACTGTCCCCCAGGGATACCTGTCCAGACCTCAGCTTATCAGGAGCCTGTTCCTGTCCATCCCCTGAGAAAGGTCCTGCCTTCTCAGAACAGTGTGGGGGAGGGAGGTGGGGAAAATTCCAGAAGCTTCAGAGACCTGGTGCCTGGGTAGAAGTGAGTCCAGGTGGCAGTCCCTCTTCTCACCTGATGCCCCAGACTTATGTGCTCCTTCTTCTACAGCAGTAGCTCCTTTCTCCAACTCATTGGTCCTGGGCCCATGAGTCTCTTCTGCGTACATGCTAACCCAGCCAGAACCCACAGGAAGAGAACCCAGGACCCCCACCACCGTGCACAGCAACTCTGATGGCCATAGTTCAGTAATCTTCACTTTCATCTTTGAACAGGAAGCACACGGGTTGTGTGAACTCCCATGTCTATGTCCATCATCCCAAGAAGACCCTTCCCTCCCCTCCTGGTAGATGGTTCCCCCACCCCAGTCAGTCACCTTCCTGGTATGTGTCATGAATTCACATCTCTTACAAAGTCCCACATACAGGAGATCACAGGTTAGTGCTACTTTGAACTTGCATTGGGTAAGTAGGCTCCCCTCCCAGACAAGCTAGACTGTGTTTCGGAGTTTTGTTGCTAAATGGAATCTTTTTGGGGGCAAGAGTCATAGTTGTTTTTTTTTTTCTTTCTGATGATGAACACTTGGTCATTTTCAGTTTTTTCTTTTGTGGTACCAGGGATTGAACCCAGGGCCTTCTGCATGCCAGGCAAGTGATGACACTGAGTTATAGCCCCAGTTCTGCTTTTAATTTTGAGTCAAGCTCTCTCTAAGCTGCTCAAGCTGGCCTCAAATTCACTCTGTAACTCAGAAAGGCCTTGAACTTGCAATCCTCCTTCCTCAGACTTATGCTGGATTGCTTTAGTTAATAGCTTGACACATCTGGGCTGAGGGAGCCTCAGCTTAGGAATTGTCACCATTGGACTGGCCTGTGGCCATATCTGTGAGGCATTTCCTTGATTGTTGAGTGATGTTGGAGGGTCCATCCCACTGTGGGTGATGCCACCCCTGGGCAGGTGTCTTGTATTGTATAAGAAGTAGATTGAGCACAGGACAGGGGAGCAAGTCAGTAAGCAGCACTCCTCCCTGTCCTGTGCTCTAGCTCCTGCCTCCAGGTTCCTGCCCTGAGTTCCTGCCTTGAACTCCTTCATTGATGAACTGCGACCTACAAGATGTGAGCCAAATAAACCCTTTCCTCCCCAAGTCTGTATTGGTAGGAGTGTTTCATCACAGCAGTAGAGAAAGCTAACTAGAATGTTGGGGTTCTCTGTTATGCAAGTAGAAGTCTCTTCACGTCCGGATAGCTCACAAGCTCGGAAACCATGTGCTGCAGATTCCTTTCATAGCAGAGTGCCTTCCTGGCATCCTCCCTGACTCTTCTTTTAAAGTGCTCGCCACAAATACATATCCTCCGGCACAGGAGCTAACAGGTTTTAATCAGGCGTTGTCTGATAGCCTGATAGAAGCCCACCGCCCTATGTAAATGAGGCATCCTAAAAGTACCTATCAGCTAAGACTTCTTCTGCTGTCTCTACACTATAAATAGTCCTAGTTTTACCCCAATAAAGTTGGAGCTGGATCACTTCGACTCGGAGCTGGATCACTCAGACTCGGAGCTGGATCACTTAATCTTGGAGCTGGAGCTGAATCACTGAGATCTGAGCTGAGTCACTTGTCTTGAGCTGTAACACTAAATCCTGTGATCCAGTCTGCCTGGGGGGCGCTATGCCTCCGTTATCGGCCTACGGATACCCCAGCTTTCGCTGCCTCCGTGCCTCTTCCCTGTGGAGTTCACTGGCCAGGAACTCCGCAATCCTGAGGAAAGGTACAAGGGTGTAATAGAGGCGGGATTCTGACTAGATAATACTCTAGTAGCAGAGGAAGCTCTCCGCTCCAGAGAAGCATGTAGCCATCAGCTACAGCCAGCATCAGAGAAGTCTGCGCACCAATTGATGCTGGTTAGTTGGGGCTGAAAAATCAGCTGTAAGTAACAAGAGACCAGCATCACCGTGGTGAAATCTTCTGGGAAGTATTTCCTCAGGGTCAGCTCACAGAAGCTACGGTCCATAGGGGATCAGAGCCTCCATCTTGAGCTGGAAGCAGGACGTGGTAATGTGTTAGAGTCTCCTGCATGATTCTGGTGTGGAAAGAATGAAGTGGTCACAGAGAGCAACTGAGGCTTGGCACCCTGAGAGATAAGAAAAGGCCATTGTGGAAGGTGCAGCCTCAATTGTAGTGAAGACCCCCAGGATTGGAGAGATCATGGAGAGAATCTGAGGCCAGAAGAGCCCATTGGTGAAGATGCAGCCTCAGTTTCAGTAGAGATCCCAGCATGTTGGAGATGCCAGGACCATGGGTCGACCACCAAGGCAGCAGCAGGTCTGGAGTGGAGCCGCCCTGAGCCTACCAGACAAGCTGTGTGTGCTGTGGATGGCAGAACCAGAGAAGTGGAGCTGCCAAGCCCATTGGAGCCCAGAAGATCATGAGTAAAGCCCAGATGTCCACCCTTGAGCTACTTTGCTGGACTTAGGTTTTACTTAAGTGTGCCCGATTCTTCTCTTTTGAAATAAAACAGTACTTAACTTTTGTATTTTACAGGAGCCCACATTGAAAGACTTTTAAAACAGACTTTGAACTTTTAAAGTGTTTGGATTTTTAAAGACTATGGGATTTTTAAAGTTGTACTATTTTATGTTATGATATTAACATCATACGTTGTGTGAAAGAAAAGTTCCCGAAAGAACTCCTGTACCTTGGACTGAACTTCCTGCAAGACTGACAACTGATTATCACTCCAGAGACTGTGGAGAGTTTGGAATGTTGCAGGTCCAGAGTCTAATTACCATTTATCTTGGGTCATCGTTAGCCCCCTAAACAGCTACTCCTTGCCCACCTCTGTTTCTGATCTAACAGTTCATTGTAGGTGCCACCCCAACTTATAGAACCAGCAAGTTCCAACAGGTCTACCTGGACTAATATTCAGTCTCAAGTAATCCCATAGTTCTAGGCTATTGGCGGGCAATAGCTGCAGTTTGCTGCCACTGGGGCCCAAGCATGATGGAATGGCTCTGGTCAAATACAGATTATACCAGGTGTAAACAGCAGATCATCACACATCGAGGAAATGGGGGCAACATCATTGCTGTTGTGCCAAACCTGCTTCAGCAGGCTGTCCCCCTCCAAGGCCTGGCTGATACCATATTCTCAGGACAGATTTAGTATGTGTCCAGTGTTCCAGGGGCCCTGAATGGGAGCACCACCTTGCTACCTGTCAACAGCATCTCTACAGCTATCTTGACTCTCAGCTCTCATGCAGTCATGAGCC